GAAATTCTAAAACAAACAAACCACAAACAATATCCTTTTGGGCAAGACAGTAGTAGCGAATGATGTGCTAAAAATATTATCAGCGTTGTTGCGAATGACAACATGATAAACCCGATAGCCAGAACGTTTACAGAAATTAGACTTTCCTTCATCAATGTTATTTCAGTACAAATATAATGAAAAATATGAAATTTCATAAAGACAAGTAGGTATTGATATATACATAACTTAGCTAGCTATAGTAATATAGAAAGTTTTAATGCTACAAAAAGTATTGAAACAAGAAAGTCAAAACTGCAACATTTCTCCCAGATGTTTTTAACGGATGGCGTGCACGTTCATCATATTTAACAAAAATAAGTAAACTTCCAGATTAATTTACCGAATGTATAATTGGACAAATGACACAAAAAAGTAGAGAGTATAGTTAACCGTTTTACGATGTCCTTATAACCATACCTGAAAATTATAGTTTGAAAGTTCAAAGATAAAATAACGTATTGTTATATTTTGTCGTGTTTCCGTTTTTTGCTCAACTACATTGTAACAGTTAGGAAAACCTTTTACTACATTTTCTAATTTCAATATACTAATTTTCTTTCACCAACGTTACATTTTCAATAGGAAAATAAACAGGGAGCTAGCAGAAGATATTCATATATATTTCATATTCCATAAGTATCGTTTTTTATATTTACAGTTGATAACAACTGAAAATACGCTTGATTAGTCATTTGAGTATTAAAATTTCAGGAAAATATAAGAAATATACAGGTATACCACGTAAGTACATTCATTTGTTTGTTTAAATTCCGCGCAAAGCTACACGAGGGTTATCTGCGCTAGCCGTCCCTAATTTAGCAGTGTAAGACTAGAGGGAAGGTAGCTAGTTATCACTATCCACCGCCAACTCTTGGGCTACTCTTTTACCTACGAATAGTGGGATTGACCGTAATTTTACGAGTCGAGAGCCCTAACCACCTGGCTATGCCGGGCCAAGTATTTATAATAATATAAATACTTATTCAATTTTAGTAAACAACTACACCCAGGAAATCTGAATTGTAATTAATACATTTACCTAAATGTGTTTACACAATTCGTAGCAAAAAGTTAAAGTTAAATCTGACCAAATTAAGAAAAAAAACATTTTTCTAAATATAATTTTGATAAGAATATTACAACATAGCACGGCAGTTGAAGGCAATAATTTAACTTATTGCTAAAAGGGCTGTTAGTGTTTGCAAAAATAGCCGGTGAGCCAGTGGTACTTTTATATACTTACAACGCTAATATTCTGGATTCGATTCCACTCAGTGGACAGAACATTGATATCTCACTGTGTAGCTTTATTCTAAGAACAACATTGCTTATACAATTTTCAGCACTAATGATTACAGTCCTTACACTTATCAGCATCATAATTTTACGCATTTTTCTTATTGAGAGCCAGACGTGACCTTAGTGGTTAGTGAGCCAATCTGTGGATCTGAGGGTCCAAGGTCGCATCCCGTTGCCGAAAATTACGATCCACACTTTGGTCCCGTAAATGTGTTATAAGAGTAGCGGTTAAATCCCACTATTTGATTAGAGTAGCCCAAGAGTTAGCAATGGGTGTGGGTGACAAGTTGCCTTCCCTCTAGTCAATTAGTTTAAAATGAGTGACGGCTAGCGTGGTTAGCTCTTATATAACTTTGCTCGAATAACCGAAACAAACAAATAAACATATTATCATCGATATTTTTGTTTTCCCTTTATAGCATTCTCAGATTTTATTGATTTCTTTCTGACACACTTTTTTTATTTATGTGGTTGAAATAAAAATATATTATTATGACCGACTATTATCTGCTAAACCAGACGGACAATTATGTCATAAACTGAGATTAATATGAAATTCGGTGATTGTTGCTAAGCACAAAGTTACACAATGAGCTAACTGTGCGCCGCCCATCACTGGTTTCGAAACTTATTATATGATTAAACGCTATTGTGTATATGAGACTAAACTTTTTATATGGATGATGTCCTTGTTATATGAAACTAAACATATTATATGAATGAATATCATTGCGTATATAAATCTAAACTTGTTATTGAGTGAAGACTATTGTACACTGAGTGGTCACAAGTAAATAGACACCTAATTTTTCGTCATTTAACTGATTTATGCTAACTAATTTGTG